TATCTCACACACACCCCCTCACACACCAACACACACACACACACACACACACACACACTACACAAACTGAGATCATAAATTAGACCTTTTAACTAAAAAACAACGGTTGTTTATTTATAATGTGAGCTCCAGATGAAATTGCTAGTGGAATGCCTTATGCTGAAAAGCTGACTCTAAACTGCTATGCTGAAATGTAATGTGTAAGAAGAAAGTGAAGAATTGAGATTGAAATGATACATGAATACTGGGGGCTTGAATGTGTGATGAGAGAAGAAAATAAAATAAAAAGGCTTGGAAAAGCAGCAGAATATTTGAACTGCAACCTTCTGAACTAACTTGATGGCGAATGATCTGTCGCCATGGCAACGGCATTTGATGACACCCCATAATACGCTTAGATGCGTTGATGGCTGCATCGTTACCAAACCTGTGAAGTTTTGGGCTGTTTGGAGCATTTTCACTGAAGTTATGAGAAAACCGTGTTTCATGGCGAGCATTGTGTTGCCATGGCAACGGCATTTGAAGAAATCTCAAAACTGTCCCGTAGATGTCTTCACGGCTGGACTGTTAGCACACATGTGAAGTTTGAGCACTTTTTGAATATTTTCATAGGAGATGTTTTCCTACGTTTGTCATGATAAATTATGTCTCAGGAATGTAGGGTTTGAAAAAAAAATATGAAGGCAAATTTCAAGATGTTCTACCCAGCTGTGACATCACGCACTCTAGTTAATGTTAAACTGTGAAGAAAACCTCTAAAACAAGGTCTGAACAATGTTTAATATCTCTAAAAGTAAGAATCAAATTTAAAAGTTGTGTTCAAGTTTAAATTAAATGTATTCAATAATAATAACACTTTAGAGATAACAACAATAATTCAACAGATATATTTATTTAATTTGAATAATAAAATATATTCCGCATGATTTGTGAAACAGTTAAACAAACTGTAAAACACACCGGGAGAAAACACTGAGTATTAAAGTATAACAACTAAAACTAACTAATGACATAAATACATTCAAATAATCACAATGAATGAATTATTATCAAAACATATCAAACTATTAGCCTTAGCTTGTTCCTGCTTTTCTTCAACGTGCAGAGTGTGTGTGTGTGCGTGTGTGTGTGTTTGCATGCGTGTGTGCGTGTGTGTGTGCATGTGTGTGTGCATGTGTGTGTGTGCATGTGTATGTGTGTGTACCTTTACCTGGCTCTCCGTTATTCCCAGAGAATAACATCAGATGTTAGGATTTTAGGTATTAATGATTAGCTCATCCAGGATTAGCGCTGAGCCTCTCAGCCAATCAGGAGGCTCCCCTAAATCCAGCGGCCTGCGTCGGCTTCAGAAGAGCCAATCAGCGCAGCCCCCTGTCTCCCCCCCCGTGGTGTCCTGAGTAAAGTTTGCTGTGCAGCTCATAGACAGATGATCATGTTCTATTATCTCACACACACCTCCTCACACACTCTCCCACGCACACACACACACACACACACACACACACACACACACACACACACACACACACACACACACACACACACACACACACACACACACACAAACACACCTCTCTCTCACAAACTGTCCCTCACACACACCTCACACACTCCTCCTACTCTCCCTCACACACTCCTCCTCACACTATCCTCTCTTCACACACTCCTCTCTCCCTCACACTCTCCCTCAGTCTCCTCCTCACTCTCTCCTCTCTCCCTCTCTCCCTCTCTCCCCCCGGATGTCCCGGGCTGAGATGGGCTCTGCCCCCGGCCTCAGAGCTCCAGTGTCCCGGTGTTCCTCCTCCTGGTAGTCCGTGATGTTATCCTCGATGGACGGGCAGAGCTTCCTCCTCGGAACCCCCCCCCTGGCGGCTCTGCACAGCATGGCTCATGAGATGAAGACCCCCCCCCTGTACCCGGCCTTCTCCTCCTCCGGCTCCTCTTCGACCTCTCCGAACCCCGGGGGAGTGGCCGGTTGCTCCCCGGGTCTGAAGGGCTGTTCTTCGGCTCTGTGTTCCTCCGCAACCCCCCACGGGATTAACGACATTCTGAGCCGGCCCTCCGCGCTGCTGCTGGCCGGAGGAAGCGCCTCCTGCCCGGGGGGGCTGCTGGGCTCCGCGCTGGCCCCCCGGTGCCATCCCCCAGGACTGTTCTTCAGCCCCCGGTACCCGAAGCCCCTCAGTGAGCTTCCCGCGGGCCGGACCCCCCTCTTCTGGCCCGGGGTCCTGCAGAGTCCCCCCCCCCACTGGAGGGACGCGCGCTTCTCCTGCTCCCCCCGTGAGTGCAATCTCTTTCTTTTTCATTTCTGAGCAGAAAGTTATTTAAAAACTGGGAGAAAAAAGGAGTTATTTTGTTAAATAAATTCTTTAATTACAATGAAAACCCGAAGCTTCGCGTGGACACGAGTTTATATTTTAAAAGTCTGGGATTTATTTTAAAACTTCAATTTCTGCGGAGAAAGTTATTTAGAAACTGGAAGAAAATAGTTATTTATTCCATTCATTAAATCATTGGAATAAAACCTGCTGCCGGGAAACTGTTTCACATCTCTGAGGAAAGGAGATATTTAGTTAAAAAAATGCAATGATTAGAATAAGACCCTGCACCCCCCCCGTGCGTGGAAACGCGTTCTCATTTCGGAGGAATTAAATTATTTAAAAACTGATTTTATTAAATAAATGCAATAATTAGAATATAATTAAGGTCCCAGAGTGCAGGTCTGTTGGTGGTTCCCAGAGTCCACAGAGCTTTCGGCCACCAAGCCCCGTTCCTCTGAACCAAAGAGGCGGTCAGGGAGGCAGAGTGTCCACACATTTAAGAGCAGGTTGAAGACTTTCCTCTTCAGTTCACGCTGGTTTTAAACCCCCTTTTATATACATCCTCATGGACCCTTCGTTTTTTGGAATTGTATTTATTGTACTCTAAGTGTAATTGTGTCATTGTATTATGTTGCTTTTTAAAGTGGTATTTTCACATTGATCTTGTAAGATACGTTAGTTGTGTTTACATTGTTTCACATTTGTGTTGACTTGTGAAGCGCTCTGAGACAAATAGGATTTGTGATTTTGGACTATTTAAATAAACTTGAATTGAATTGAATTATCTGTTCCATACATTGAATAACTACGACCCCCCCCCCCCACGGGACTAGAAACTGTTTTATATTTTACATGTCTGAGCAGAAAAGGGGTTATTTAGTTAAATACATTGAATAACTGGAACGACTCCCGCCCGGAGTGGAAACGGGTTTATTGAAATGAGATGATTTAGTTTCAATAAGAATGAATTTATTAACGTTTAGAAATATAAAAGCGTGTTGAAATGATGAGATGATAAATGAACCGGTCGCTCTTAAATACTAATATATTTACATCTAAAATGAATCAGAAACAGGTTTTTATTAAAGCAATAATTATAATTAAATACACTTTGTGTGAAACAGGCTCTTCCTGAAGTCTGCACCTTAACCCGGAGACATGGGTCTCTCGACAGAGGGTTACATTCTCTGGAGGACACGAGACTTTTTAACAACGAGAACAATACGAATAAAATGCAGTAAATATATAAAAGATAAAACCCCTTAAGATATAATAACTAATAACTTTAATAACAGGCTGTTATTTATCCATCAAGTGAAACGCTGTAATCAAAGGCATTTACCCATAATCCATCCTGTCCTTCCTCCTGTTCTTTCGTTATTGTTGAAATCACTGTCTCTTTCTTAATTGTTTTTTTAAATTTCTGTTTCTATTTTTCCTAAATTGTAAATTCACGCTTTTTATTCCTCTTCCTTTTTGTCTCGAAAATGACTTTTTTTTGCACCATTTCTCCTTCAGTTCACTTTCAGTCTGAGCTCCGGTTCCCGGTTTGTTTTGTTCCTTCTGCTCCTACTGGACTCTTACAGGCAGGGATTTTGGGCCCCATGAAAATATATCACATTACTTAAACATTTTTTTCTTAATGTTCTAAAATTCTATGGGCCCCTGTCAGTCACGGGCCCTTAGAATCGTCCTAACTTTTCACCCCCTTACGGCGCCCTGCTTACAGGACTCTTTCTGCACATTCCGTCCCGTGAGGCCCTCTCTGTCCTCAGACCCTCTCTGTCCTCAGACCCTCTCTGTCCTCATACCCTCTGTCCTCAGACCCTCTCGGTCCGGGTCTCTCTCTCGGTCCGGGTATCTCTGAACAACACCCTGTCATATCTCCGTTATTCCAGGGAAACACTGTGTTCACAAAGAACTCTCAACACGTGACCGTTTGACATTTCAGTCCAAATAGTCTCATTTCATTTCTTGCACAAGGATTGGGAATTCTGTTTGTGTTTCTGATGTTCTGCAAAGTGTCTTTGAGCATTAGAAAAAGCGCTATACAATTAAATGTATTATTATTATTATTATTATTATTATTATTATTATTATTATTATTATTATTTCTAATGACCATGTCCCGGTGGACCAACGGAGCTTTATCACGTGTTTTACCCGGTTCCGGTTCTCCTGCAGCTGAGAGAGAACATGTGTTTATTAGATAGATACATAGATGGATAGATAGATAGATGGATGGATAGACAGATAGATGGATGGATGGATAGATAGACAGATAGATGGATGGATGGATAGATAGATAGATAGATAGATAGATAGATGGATGGATGTACTTTCTTGATCTCAATTTGAGACATGTTTGCGTATCATCAAAAGAAGGCAATGTACATGAAATAAATCGTAAATGTCCCCGGGACTAATAAAGGTATTATAATAAGAGAAATTAAGACACTAGAAATAAACATTCGAAAATATATTTTTTATTGTTTTTCGTTGTTGTTACAATAATGAGCAGACAGGGTCCTTCATACAAAGACATGCTTCTAGAAAATATTATAATACAAAACGTACTTGCACACACATACAATAATACACACATGTATCTAGGCTCCACAGTGTGGGAGCAGTGCATCTATTTTTACTGTTTTTGTATAGGCTACATATGTAGGCTAAGGCAGGGGGGGGGGGGTCTCTCTCTCAGGGTCTTTGGGCCGCTTTGATGGACCTTCAGAGTCCTGGCTCTTCTTCCGTTTACACATGAAGTTAAGAACACGTGTTCATGAACCAGTTCCTCTCCCCTCAGCTCTGTGTGAACATGGTTTATTCCCTTTCAATATATTTTTATTTTCAGGTGAGACAATTAGGGAAAACACGTGACAAAACAGACAGAACAACAACAACAACAAACAACGACAGACAAACAGCAGCACTTGTCATGTTTACTCCCACAGTTATAACCCTTAACGATTGTTTCGTGTGCACGGTGCAACACACACTCCTCCAGAGATCATCGCTGTCTGCTATAATAACTGACATGTAGAGCCTTTCAGGGGGCCCAAGGTCGCTTTACAGAAAAACAGGAATATATAAAACAAAACAAAAAACAGTCAGACAGACAAAACAACAAATAAATCAGTTTCTCTCCCTCTGTGTGAGAACATGTGTATTAACCCGTGTCCCCCCCCCCAGATCACGGCTCGGTGCTGCTGGACCGGGACGGGAAGAGGAAGCACACCCGGCCCACCTTCTCCGGACAGCAGATCTTTGCTCTGGAGAAAACCTTCGAGCAGACCAAGTACCTCGCGGGGCCGGAGCGCGCGAGGCTGGCCTATTCTCTGGGAATGACGGAGAGCCAGGTCAAGGTACACGCACACGCGCAGACATACACACACGCGCGCACACTTCTCCTAAAAACACACTTCACTTTCAAAAGACCCAAAGAGAAGAAAACCGGAAATGATAATAATGACTTTTCGTTTAAACACATTAAATCTAATGAACTCAAAACAACATTAAATTAATTACCTCCACATTTAGGAAAATGCTAATTAATCCATTTTAATTTAAACACACCTTTTAAAAACACATTTCCCACGATGCCTTTAGAAACTCTACAGCATGCAGGATATAACAGATATTTAAACACATTCCTAAAAACGCGCTTTCCTCAACATTAGAACATGTTTCCTCATCGCGAGGAGGAACAGAGAGACACTGAGCTATTCTCCTCAGACTCCCAAACATGTGATGCTTTTAAAAACCTGCTCCTTCATCAGTTATCATTTAAACTTTTTAAACACATTTTCTCTCATTTCATTTCAACTGTATTTATTCGCAGAAAATGAAAACGAGCTTTAAATTATTTAGCTTGAACCCTCAGGCATCACGTGACCCTGCGGCCTCTGGAACATCCCATAATGCACGTGTCATGCAACACGTGCAGCGCGTCATTCTGCATCGAGTCCACTTCATAAAGAAGTTTGATTCATATTATGTTGAAGTTTAAATATATTGATTTGAATTCAGTTTAAATTCTGCTCGTTGTTTCTGCAGAGCTACAAATACAAGACGCAGAGTTAGTGGCTCCGGACCTAACACGGGAGAGAAGTGGACTGTGTGTGTGTGTGTGTGTGTGTGTGTGTGTGTGTGTGTGTGTGTGTGTGTGTGTGTGTGTGTGTGTGTGTGTGTGTGTGTGTGTGCAGATGGTGTTTAACATACACTTCCTCCTCAGAGGGTAGATGGTTTCTGCAGCATTAGTTTCGTGGAGTGTTAAAGCAGATCTAAGAGAGAGAGAGAGGGGACGGGGAGATCTGCATGAGGGGGTCTTTTCTTTATTTCTCCAGGGAGTTGATGCAGGAGCTCTGACCCGGGTCCCGGAGCTCTGACCCGGGTCCCGGAGCTCTGAGGCTTTATTTCACTAATCCTGCAAACTGAGTTAAATCCTGAAGAAAGTGGATTTATAAAATATATTCAAATGTTTGCAGTGATTTGAGTTTCACTGAGAGTCAGAGCGGGTTTCTGTGAGTGTGACCCTGCAGGAAGGGACTGTGATCATGACTCTGTGTTTAGGGTCTGCATCCTGAGGCTCAGTCTGGAGAGCACTCAGGAGATGTTTGAGTGAATCCGGTACATGTTGTATTTCTATCACGAGCGGAAGCAAACCGCGGAGCTTTCTGCGTTAACCGTGAAGGACGGACTCGCTCTCCGGTTGCTCTGCAGGAGGAGACGGACCCCTGCTGGGTTATCAGATCATCTGTATTCTGTATTCTGCACTTAGGAGGAGAAACGATGTTTTTCTGCGGCTGGAAATATAAGTTATATTTTTGTTAAATGGTGTAAAAAAGTAAAAGAAGCATGCTTCATGTTTACTGATGATCTGATCTGGAGTGGAGACCCATCCATCCAGCAACTTCTGAGTCTGTTAGTTTCTTTAGTCAGTTTAGTTATCCAAGAGTAAACCCGGACTGCTGCACACATTGTGTCTACAGAATGAAGCCTTCACTTGTCTCAGCCCGGAATCACCTCTTTAGTTCAGTCGCGCTTCTCTTGCAGTTTCTTGAAGTGACGGAAGGGTTTTTGATTTGTGTAAATCCTGCGGAGTTTTACATCGTTTTTCCAGGGAGTTTAAAACGTGCAGGAAGTCTCAGCATCAGGTGTGTGTGTGTGTGTGTGTGTGTGTGTGTGTGTGTGTGTGTGTGTGTGTGTGTGTGTGTGTGTGTTAATGAGTGTGTGTTTAATGAGTGTGTGTGTTAATGTGTGTATTATTATCTGTGTGTTCTCAGGTGTGGTTCCAGAACCGGAGGACCAAGTGGCGGAAGAAGCACGCGGCGGAGATGGCGACAGCCAAGAAGAAACAGGACTCAGAGACAGAGAGGCTGAAGGGCTCTGATGAAGAGGAGGAGGAGGATGAAGACTACAACAAACCTCTGGACCCCAACTCTGACGACGAGAAGCTGCACGTGCTGCTCAAGAAGCACAAGCCCGTGCACGTGCTGCACGGCTCGGACAATGACAGCTCCTAATCTGCACATCAACAAAAATACACTTATTTTAATTTCTGTTATTTTGTTGTATTTCTTTTATTTCTTTTATCGTTTTAATCTTTTTTATTTTATGTTTTCATTGTATTTTATTTGTATTTCTTTTATTCCTTTACTTCCTGTTTCTGGAGATGAACTCGAACTCTTGGAGTCGCACTTTTTCAGATTATAAGGATTTCTTTTTTGCAAATTGATGGATGAAGGACGTACGGTTCCGGTTCGTAGACTTCCGGTTCCAGTTTGACGGTTTTCCGGTACCGGTTCTTTGGACTCTTGTAAAAAAATACCAAGAACCCCCCGCTGTGATTCTCCGTTTTTTTGTACAGACCAGCTTTCCTTTCCTTTTGTATTCACTGCAGAGACTATAAACTCCAGTGGTCCCTGAACGCACCACCTGTACAGACCGCCCCCCCCACATTATTTATATGTGTGTGAAGCCTGTGTGTCACGGCGGGTTCAAATGTAATGCACTTTTATTTAATAAAATCTCAAATGCTTCCTGTTGTCCCCGCCCCCCTCCCCTTAATGAGCTCACCTGGTTAATTAATTAACTCATTCATTAATGACGTCATTGAGTCAGTCATTAATGAGTTAATTTAACGGTCCATCTATCATCGGCTGCTTTCAGAAATCACTTCATTATTATAATCATTATGGGACTTCCTGCTGGGATCGATTTGGATTATTTGGTTTTATTAGATTTTGAAATCTTAAATTCAAACTTTAAGACATTTCTGATATTTTTTTAACAGATCAAATTATTTTATTTACCTTTTTTTTATTTTTATTTTTATTTTTTTAATAAAACCGAAACGTTTAATAATTAAATAACGCTTAAAGGTGGGTTGGGTCATTCCCTCCAGAAACACTTGTTGTTATATTCCATGGAATGATCTTAACATCCCGATAGCAATGAATATCTGAAGTGCTTTGAAGCCGTAGCGCTGTGAAAAGCACCAATCATCTGAGCCGGCCCGGCTAAAGTAACTGGATGGCCTATCTCCCTGTCAGCCTTCCATCTGAGCACAAACTTATCTCGCGCCCTCATTGGTCATGTGCGCGTTCGTGTGTGTTGGAGGAGGGGCTCTGTTAGGAAGTCTGAAGGAAGAGGCAGATTGTTTCCGGTTACGTACTTTCAGATTCTAGCGCACTCGAGCTGGTTTCTCCGTTCCTACCATGGTTCCTTCCTACCTACCCCACCTTTAAAAGAGAGGAGATGAA